GACGCAGGGGCCCAGGCGCAGCTGCTGCGACAGCTGCCGCGCGCAGCCGGCAACCACGCCGTCACCCGCTTCGAAGATGGCAGCGAAAGAGCCGTTCACGATCTTCGGCGACTGGGGGCTGTTGGCCAGCAGCAGGCTGGAGCCGAAGGCGGCGTTGCGTGCACGCGTGTCTGCGGCACACAAACGCGACTCAACTCCACCCTCGACTTATTTACCTTGTTTACCGTGCCAGGATCTGCCATTATTGAAAGTGTAGCGCTGACTGCTCTCAAAAGATGTGACAAACGTTTCATAAACACAACTCATTGGATGAACTTACAAAATTGTATTGCATTCATAGCTCTGAAGATGCCAATGAGTTAAAATGGTGAAACGTTAGATGATGCAATTAAACCGTGCTATAACCATGTTTCAGTTTAAAAAATAGATGCACATGGGGGTTATCACTTACTAGTGCCAGATACGGCAACTAATTTTTTGCTAGCTAAAGTGTTTACTTTCCAAAATTGGAGTTTATTGCTCAGTTTAAAGAAGATGATGGAAAAGTGTGTTACACTTCGGAAGAACGAGAATAAGGAAATTAATAAATAATAAACAAAAGCAGATGGAATAAGTAATAGTCAAATATATTATGGTTCGGAAAATCTTCTCCATAATGACATTTTGAAAAGAAGTTTTGTTTCAAATGTATCAGGCTCACAAACTGTTTCCCATAATGAAATTTTGTGCAGGGGTAAGTTGTGAACAGAACTGTGTCACCAAGTTTGATTTTCGTTGTCAAGGACACGTTCATGAAGAGTTTGAGGTGACAGAATGGAAACTTTGGCTGTTGACAATCAGAATGATGACATAAGGAATTAGAAATTCATTTGTCTTGCATTTTAGTAATTATTGATGACGGTAGCGGTTGTAAAGAAGGTTTCATATGATACGTGCATTCGATAATACTTTTTAGAGTTTACACGACAGTTTGAATGAATTAGAACGTTTTTATTTTACATATTTTTCATGATTTTGGTATAACTTCATATTTTTACATATTTTGCCTATTACTGTATATTTCGTTACATTTACTATTACGCGACGGTTCGTTTCTCGGTCGGGCAAGATTATAGTGTGCGTTTTCGTTGCATTGTCCCAGTATGTTGGTGTGTGACAATGAGAAAACACACTTCTCGCGTTGAGAAGAGCAGAACACTGGGTAGGGATGTCTTCGTGCTAACTACATGTACCCACTTAAACCACTGCCGCGAGGCTGGGATCCTGCTGATAGGCCTTGGCCCGTTCGCGGACTGTCGCGACGATTACAGACATATATATTTGCTTGGCTTTCCGGGTGACGCCGCGTCCATGGCGAAGGTGCCGACGTTTTGGTTGCCATTGTGCGACCTTCCTCAGGGCGTAATGCCTACGCTCTTACAGACATATATTTAAAAACGAAGAATTGAAGATGTAAAAGGTGATATTGAAGTCTATCTATCCCTTTAGAAAGCAATGCAATGAGTTTCTATGACCATCGGATCATCATGAATTATAAAACTTACTCTTCCCCCTACTTCTTGAAAACCGCATACTCAGGAAAAAGGAAAAACGGATGTTTGTAAAGCAGAAGTAATTTCAACTACATACTTGTTCATGCAAAACTCGATCAAAAACTAACACTGCCTTATCGCGTTCTTGGAGTTGGGTGAAGATTCCCTTCATCCCCCCACCTCAGGATCCATTACTGGTTGAAAGGTGCTATCATTCACTTGAGCAACGGCTCCTTGTAAACTACGTTGTAAATACTACGAACATATTCTATATTTAGAATGAAACTAGTGTACAATTATTTCTGTAGAGGTAGAACTTTCTATCAAACTCTCCAAATTCAATTTAAAATCTAATCGGCAGTTCTGTGCTCGTAAAATGCACACTATATAGAGTGTGGCGTCTTTGCCGGGGCAATAAATCACAGACGTGAACGGTTTGTAATTTATTGAGTATTTATTTGAAAAAATGCTCCAACACCTGAATACTATGTACAATAATTACAATAAACAATATTGACCCGTTACCAGAAGTCCTGGTCACCACCACCGCTGGCGTGATAATTTGATATCTTATTCGGTGTGATGCACCAGTTGCCTACGTGAGCATACAAGCGAGTATGCCGCACCTCCCGTCTCGACGTAGCACGCCGGCTTCAGTTCCCTGCCTCAGTAGCCTATGCATTGAAATGCAGCGCCGCGCACAACCCACACGACTTCCTACCGACGCGCCCAAGAATCAGAAGAAGGAGTTTAGGTCCGGGGTCCGTTTATATTACCTTTTGGGCCGGCTGACGGAACTGCGTCATCTCGCTGTTTCCGCCGACGCGTTTCCACAGCCAGCATGTCTACGGGGTTAACAAGTTTGCCCCAAGTGGCCTACGGAGTTCACAAGTGGCCACCCACGACACGGCTCCCCTTCCCTTCCGCTCCCTAGTTTTGCCGTTGTTCAGCCTGGGGTCTCAATGCGCTGTCCATGAGCATGAAATGCACGTGGCTAATGTTTTGTCACGTTTGTACATGTCGACTAATATGACGCCCAAGAGGTATTTTAACGCTATAATGAATTTTATGACATTTTCCATATTTTCTTGCACATTTCGAAAAATAATACTTACATGTACATATTTTGCCTTTTTATTACAACAAAATCCGTTCCCTACTAATAATAGAGATGAGTTCATTGTGAGTTAAAACTAGGGACCGAATACCGAAATTATAGCGGTAAAGATATGTATATCCGTATAGAAATAACTTTATCTCTATTCGAAATATTTAAAAAAAATACCGGTATACGTCAAATACGGTTATTTTTAAAGATATTTGACCTTTATGCGACGTTTGCACCCGTAAAATACTTCTCTTTAAAGGTCATGAAATACGGACATTTCATTAGAATCATTTTTGGAGAAATAACTGTAATTTTTACCGCTGAAATGGCTCAGAGGAACAACAATTAACATTGCAGAGTTTCTGACAGGGAGGCCCCAGGGTTCGAGTCTCGACGGTTGTAGATTGTCTACATTAGCCGTATTCTAGCTGGGTGGAATTCGGCCGTTGTGTGCAAAATAATTACAGTGGTCTGGTTTCTTGAACGGTAGTTTTCCATGGTTCCTCCTATCTATAACAGGCGAATGGTGGAGTAGTATTATATAACAAACGAGACCCTGAACTCGTGTTATCTTTCCTTCCTCAGCCTTTCGCCTTAAATACACTCACTCTTTCACGCACTACACTAGCAGACATCTCGAGAGACCAGTCGGAGCCGAGTGTTTGTTCCGGCAGATCGGGATATATTTAGAGAGGGGTTGCCCCTGAAGCCCTTGTATACTTCGACGCCGCATTTCACATACTAGCGGGAAAGGATCACTGGCTTCTCCGGACTTATTGATTTATTGGTTTATTGATGTTTCCGACTGTTTCCACGTCAACTATCATTAGCGTAAGTTGGGTACGGCATGTTGTATCCCGGGAGGTCACAGTGCCCCCGACACTGGATCGTGAGAACCGGAGCTGAACTACATGTCGGCTTGAGGAAGATTTCTCCTCCAAGAAGTTTCTTGAGCGGGGTACCGTCCCAGCCGTAACAAACTTTTCCGTGTTCGACTGATACTGTGGCTGGGGTGTTAATTTCTGTGTGTGTAAGGAGAGATAATAGGACAAAGAAGAGGAAGGAAAGAATGCGTGCGTCCATGGTCCATTTAATAGGATATTGCTTCGGCATTCGCCTAGTATTAATTGGAGAAATCACGGAAAACTACCAATCGAAGCAGACGGCCGTTATAATTCTCCTTCAGATAGCAGCTCAATTAGACCTAGCTCAAAGAAGCTAGTGTCGAAAATCACGCAACCGTTGGGATTCGAACCCTACGACCTCCCGGTTAGAATCGTAGCAGATGCAGTTGTTGCTGGCTCTGAGCTACCTCAGCCCACCGCTTGAATTTCCACATGCACTACATTTACGCGACTAATTACCATAACAGTTCACGCGCTGGGAAATAATTAATAAACTATCTATGATTTTTCTATTGTTGTACATCTGTATATCTTATGCTAAGTTTTTTTTTCTCAATTTAACAACGTTTTTCTCTACCTGCCAGAGCTGTCTAATACTAACACACAATACCTTCCGTGATGGATACTTGGACTGACATGAAATTTTACCAGCTTGTTCAGCACATTTCAAAACTCATAAATATACATTTTTAAGTGATATGAGCCTTGCAAGAAGAGTTTTTGCCGCAATTCATATTGGGACCTTTCACGACCTGCCGCCGATCGAAATGCGGAAATCGCCGCGTGTCGTCGCGCCTTTGGCAGTGTACTCTCACGGCATGCATATAAGCTTATTTGTCGACAGGGTGTCCATTGCCTCGGAGCCACGCAGGGTCAAAGAGGGGTGTTTACACGGCACGGAGGTCGAACACGTGCATGAATGATACAAATGCAGTTACTACAAATGCCCTGAGTGTTATCTCAATATAGGATAAATAAAAACATTTCAATTTTGCAGTTTAGGAAAAGATTGTTCCCAACAATGGTGTGTAATAAAAGAGTCAAAACATTGAGTGTAATTTATAATGGCAAAGCAGTTGCTGAAACGGTGGCTCCTTCGGTGACATTTATAAGCGAATAGATGTAGAAGATGTAGAAGTATTCTTCGAGATCGCAGCAACGTCTCCCATTCGCATCGCCAATATCCCTTACCTGCGAGGCGCACGCGCGTGCGTGGAGTGAGAGAAGCGGTGATCTCGTGCTGGGTCTGTTCCATCAGCACGTCATCGGCACAGCGGCGAATCTCTTGCCAATCGCGTTCCACGTCCATCTGCGTAGTGCGAGTAGAAGTCACCGTGAACCTGTTCAGACACACGTACAACACTTACCACCTTAACGACATTTCCGTCCGTGCCCTAGGTCCACATCTAACTAGAGATATTCACGAAATCGAATACATCGTATTGGTTTTATATCTTAATATATAATGTTCGAAATATCAAAAACAAGTTGTGAAATTTTAGTGTCGATATTCTACAAGAACAGAAAAAATTAAAATAGTAATAAAAACAATAACAGGTCAACACAGGTTCGGTAACATTGATGTAAATTGCTGTTCCATATTGCATTATATGCGCTGGAAGCAGATATGTATGTGAAAATCTTCCATCACGTCATGGTACGTAAGAAATGGATATCTAGGTTTATAGGGACTTCTTTAATTTGCGCGGTAACGCAAATTACACAATGAAATCAAGTCTTTTGGTTTATCAGTTGCTGGAAGAGCCCGTCTTTTACACCTTTGTTCACTACATCGAAGAAAACTTCATCGTTCTCACTCTGCTGCGATCAGCTGAGATGCTGAAATCCCCAGATCAGAAATATTTTTTCGTCATGGCGTACGCCAGGCAAAATCTCTCCTTCGATAGGGAAAGATGAAGATATTTCCACATCATACGTAAACAATCCAGTTCCTTGCCCCCGAGGACAGCGTCTTTCCCGTCCCATGGTAGTTTGCGCCAATCAAATAGGCACTACAATTGTGATTGTAGCGATTGGTCAACGCGCCCTTCCCCCGGATCGAAGGGTGTTCTAGTTTGTCTGGACAGTTTTGAAAATAAAATGAAACCCGTCAATTCTTGTGAGGGGAACTTGACGTTGTTGGTGGGGCTGGTACCACGTGGAGTGGAGTCGCCGGTGCCCGTGGTGCCACGCGGCGCGGCGGGGAGTCAGCCACGAGGAGACCGCGTTCCCTCACAAAATGAAAGCCAAACGCACAACCGACGTTGCTTTTCACATATTTCTATTTGTTGACCTCAAAACAACTGTAACAGCAATGACATTAAGACAAGAGAAAACGTTAGATGTATACTCAAAGTTGTACAAACATGCACACTACGTAATTGACAGTTAAAATGTCAATCTTCTCTCCAAAGGAGTTTGCAGCCGACTTTTAATTTTTGGTTTTGCGGTGAGGTGAGGTGAGGTGTGGCGGGGCGAGGTGAGGTGAGTTGAGGGTGAGGTGAGGTGAGGCGGGGCGAGGTGAGGTGAGGTGAGTTGAGGTGAGGTGAAGTGAGGTGAAGTGAGGTGAAGTGAGGTAAAGTGAAGTGAA